ATGATCTTTGAGAGGTAGCCAACTGAGTCAAAGCTAAATAAATTTAAGAATTTTGATTATGTTTTATATCAAATGATATGTATATATCAAATGACTAGCACAGTGGTGGGTCTACAACATCTTCATGATCATTTGTTTTTTAGTTCTCATTGAAATGACTTTGGATTTCAAATGTCATTGCTGTATAAGGCAATGTGAGGCATCTGCAAAAATTATCCATTGTAAAATCATCTTAATACCCATGATTAAAAGAAGGCAATATTTGAGTTAGAAATTATATCAACTGATTGTTCCAGAATTGCTAAGCTGCAGTAATAGTGACTTTTCCTCTATATTTTTGGTGTATGTCTTCTGTTTGTCTACAGCTGCACATTTCCAGGCATTTTTGAGAAACATGGATTTATAGGATTTATAGCCACCTACTGTGCCATCTACTTTCAGTAACAGTTGGTTTCCTAAATGAATTGGCAGCAAGGCATATCATAGTAGTGTTTTGTTTTATTTTCGGTGGTGTTAGAAATAGTTTGCTTTTGAACAGAAAATGAAAATCTTTGTGCCCACAGTGGCTTTTGATAACTCTTTAAGTACCATTATTCCTATAAAAGGACAAGACGTGGTTTGAATAATTTAGTACGTAGTACTAAAATGTCACATTTCTAAGACATCTATTTTATGGCTTTCCTGAATATCTGAGCCAAACACCTCTCTGGAATTTAACAACTTGTGTCTCTATAGCTAAGTAAACAATAAATTGTATTCCTCTTTGAATAAAAGTTGCCATGACAACTTGGCAGGTTTGGGCTATAGAAGTCAAATACCAACCGCTACTATTTTCAAGGATGTGGCATTATTTTTAGCAGCTCTGATGTATGTAAAAATGAAGGTGTATTTTCACATAGCCATATCAGCAATATACATTGCAATTAGACAAAATCATGTATTTTTGCAGATAATTCATTAAGTACAGTGATATTTTTGGTCTTTATGATAATGTCAATACTATTTTTTTTAACTAACTACAGAGATTCAGAGATTAAGGAAAATACCAAAGTCGTTTTATAAATGTTGATTTCAGTAACTATACAAAACTCTATTCTGAAAGTTTGAAATTTGAAAGAGAACATCTATTTAGTAAGTATGTGGAAATTTGACAGCATCATAGATCTGTTACATAATTCACCTTGATTTCAATGTTGCTGAACTCTTTATAATAATATCAACAATAGGGATAATTTTTAAATTTTTGTATTTAAACTCATTGAATATTTTCTTCAAAACCACCTTTTGTACCATTCATTGAAATATTAAATGACTCATTATTATCTGTTATTTGGACCAGACAATTTCTGGCAGGTTAGACACAAGCTTCCAGAATTGAATGAGAGATGTTTGTTGCCCAGACCTATAAATCTGTTAAGATATGCCTTATTCAATGTTTTTTAAGTTTGGTTGCAAGTGAGAGAAACCTGTTTTTTCATTAGAATTTTTTTGGTTGACAGTAAACTAACTTTTTATTTAACAGGGAAAGAGATTTATTGATTTATAGAAATGAAGAAGTCCAGCAGTAGTTCACACTTAGATGTACTTGATCAGGAAATATGCCCTTTTCTTTGCAGTGTTTGTGCTTTTGTCCTTATGTATTTTTGCCTTATCTTCAGGCAGGGTTTCCCCATGGCAGTCGTTACAAGTCTCAAACCTACACATCTCAGCAATCAGAGTAAGGGAAATGACCTCTTCTCTCCCTGAACGAGTGAATGTCTCACCAGCTGGTCCTACTTAGGTTATGTGCTCATGCCTGCCCACCAACCACTGTGAACAGTAGAATGACACATGCAAATGGCTTGTGCCCAATGTCAGGGAAGGTACTCAACTCGGAAGCTTCCAGTAGTGAAGCAGGAGACAGCAGGGATGAGTTGAATACATTTGGAGACACAACCACAAGTTCTTTTTACTCTCATAGAACCCAAACAATCAGTGTGTCATGATGTTCTGGAAAGGAGGGCTGGAAACCCATAGTGTGTGTGCAAGCTCTCTAGGGCTGCATTGTATCTTACATTTGCCTCTTTTTTTTTTTGTCTTTTATCTTTTTCCGTGTCCGGCAACGGATCGCAACCCTCAGTGTTGCCCCCGTACCGGACCGGGGACTGGCAACGGGATTGCAACCCTCGGTGCTGCTCCCGTGCCTCGCTCAGCCAGTGAGTGGGAACCGGTCTATACGTGGGATCCGAACCCTCGGGCGGGAGCGCCGCCGCGCTTCCCAAGA